TCTCATCAAAGTTTCATCTTTCGCGCGAGCACAGGCCCACCCCCGCTGCGACCCTCGCCGCCATTCTCCTTCGAGGATCTTCCACGACGCCCCTCCTCTCCGTTTCCATTAATACGCGCCTCCTATTAGCCGGTATATATTCGCGGGCCAGGGGGTGAAACGGTTATTAAAATCGCGGGATCAACCTTTCGGGGCATTAATCACGCGCGTGTAAACCGAGGGGCGTTCGATCCCCCGTTCCGTGGGTCTCTAACTCGCGGCTAATTTCTTTCTCCTCCTGGTGGAGGAGGGGAGAGGGCATAATGGTCAGCGAGGGGATGGAAGCGTGCTCTCTGTTCGATTCTTCCAGCAACGTCCTTTATCGGACGGAAATAAAATCGAGGGAGAGGTTGGGTCTCCCCTATCGTTTCGAGGTTCGTGCATCGAAATATCGTATCGAGGTTAGTTCGAGATAACGATCTTTTGGGTATTAGTAAGATTTTTCTTTTTCTTTTAATCAAGAAATTAACTAACCTATACATCGAAGCCTCTCCTTCTCCGGGTGGGATGTCGTTCGATTTTCTTCCCCAATTTTCCGTTCTCCTTTGTTCGTTCTTCTTAAACGATCTGAAATTCGAACGAAGGAAAATTAAAGCGAGACGGGAATTAAGGGAATCACGGAAACCCTTCTTCGAGTCGCTCGCGCAACTTTTTACATGACATCTGGCGAGCGTAGAAAGCTACAGAGGAGATGAGTTGTAGTCGCGCAAGAGTCATAACGCGACATCTGTTTGGAATGAGCGAGATTCGGGCGGCGGGGGTGGATAAAGACGGAAGGAGGGAACGAGAGAGAGAGAGAGAAGAGGTAATACGCAGTTTTTAGTGCATCCGCACACATCGAAGCACGAGGTTCTCAAGACAAGAAGACGAAGAGAGAGTCGACACGAGGACCGCATTACCAAGTAAGGTATTACTTAAGGTTCCAGCGGTACGTGTCGTGCGACGAAAAACACGCGCTCTCTCTATCCGGCGATGAGCGACGATTTCCCCCCTCGTTATGCGTACCCTCGACCGAATAATCGCTTGGTGGTGGCGCGGAAAAAATCGTGGGTCGACACGTCAACGATCCGTCGAAAGAAACCACTTCTCGACGGGCGGAGAATCGAGGGGAGGTTACATCATCTCGCTGGGAGAGGAAAATATCTCGATCGTTTACGACGACGACGACGAACTTACGTTTATCCTTTTTTTCGCGAGATACGGTGCGACAGCGGCAATTCCATCGGAATTCCGTGGCAGCGATGCGTTCGCCGCGATGGAAACCGAAAGAATGCAAAATGAATGGGGAAAGAGAGGGGATGAACGTTTATCTCTCTCGAATAAAACGTCATACGCTTCGTGACCGTTTTTTACGACCGAGCTCGCGCACGCGCCAACGGTGCCCTCTTCTCTCGGAGGGCTGACCGTGCGCGATTTTTCGTATCCGTCGACGAGGAGTTTTTCGTTGGAACGAGAACGTGGAATAAGTGTTGGTTGGCGAAATAGTTCTGGTTCGCGAGTAGTAATCGATCGCTCGTCCCTCGAAGGGATTGGAAGGTGGAGATGGTATTCGATAGCCGTTGGAAAGGCTCTCGAGGGTGAGAAGCGGGATCGATGAGGATTTTTCGAAGCTCGGCCGGCACGGAAAAGATAACAACGTGACCGGAAACGCAGCATTTCGACTAATTCGAGCGAATGACGGAAAGTGAGATAACGGGGAAATGGGGGAAGCGGCGGTGGAGCGGGGAAACGTGGAAAGGGGTGGAAATGGGCGGCCAACTGTCGCTACACGGGGGTAATCACGGGGGCTAAACTTTCTCTATAAATCACGAAACGATTCGGGGATGTGCCCCGTTTCTGCGAGAATGGACGGAAGAAGACGAACGGATGATGGCACAGGGAATATAATGGATATTAATGTCGCCTCTCTATGCTGATTCCCTCCACGACCGCGTCTTCTTCCCTCTTCCAGCTTTCGTGTATTTCTTCGTAAATTCTCACATCTCTCCGGTCATCCGATCCCGATTATATGGCACATTTGTTTTTCTTCTTCTTTTCATCCATTTCATTCTCCTTGCTTCTCGTTTGCTTTCCGAATCATTCTCGTTCGAATTCATTTGCGTATAAATTTCCAAATTTCCATCCTCTCTTTTTTCGCTCGATCGAATGGAAGTTTCAAGGTTCGAATCTGCCTACAAATCTACCTNCTTCTTTCCTCTCTCCCTCCCTCTCTCTCTCTCTTTCTCTCCGCTCCAAGCCAATGGAAATTCGAAAGATTCGAATTTCCAAATTTCCGTCCCTTTTTTTTATTTTTACCCTCTCTTTTTTCGCTCGATCGAATGGAAGTTTCAAGGTTCGAATCTGCCTACAAATCTACCTNTTTCTCCGCTCGACTCGATGAAAATTCCAAGATTCGAATTCATCCAAACTTTCAAATTTTCAAATCTCCCTCGTTTTCTTTTCACCCGATCGGACGAACGAACGTACGTCCAAGCTTGGCCCAAATCCCCTTCTCCCTTCCCTCTTCCTTTCTTCTTCCTCTTCGATCCGGCCGAACTTATTTTCCTCCTCCTATTTTTCCCTCCCCCTCGCTCCCCTCGGCTCCGCTCCGATTCGAAGGTCGCGACTCGTCCCGGGGATCCTTCCGCCGCAACCAGGCGAGCTCTCGCAGAATTATGGACCTCCGGTTCCGAGAAAGCCCGGCCCCCATCGAGATTTAGGTGAGGCACCTTCCTACTAACTACGTGTCACTCGATATCCACTCGCCGGGACGGCGAAACCTTAGCGCCAGCGCCGACTTCCGTTCCCCGGAAACGGAATTATCGAGACCGCAATGACGCAGAATTTCAATTTCGACGTTTTAAGCCAAACTTATCCGCGCCCATTTATTTCCCCCCGCGGTCGACGTTCCTCCCCCCTGCTAGCTTCCGTCTAGGTGACGGGACGATAAATTTCGTTACCTTTAAAATCTCGGTTGGCGCCAAGCTTTGTAACGCGATCCTTCATCAGAGGCATACGGAGTAATTATTAGCAGAAGATGACCATGTTATTTGTCGGGATAATATAACGTTTTCAATAACTTTTGTTGCTTAGAAAAATACGAAAGAAAACTACGAAAACTTTCTTCGAGTCAAGTTTTAACATCGAAGGAATAAGATCTACGATGCACGATTAAATTATGTGATTTAAAGAAATGTTAAGAGTACAAATATTGAGAGTCGATGGACGAAAGTATGGTCCTTCGAAACTTTAAAAATATAATGTTGCTTCAGAAAGAAAAATTCTTCGGAATCTTATCACATTCGAGAAATTTCTCTCATCTTCTCGTGTACACGCGAGGCGTTTATTCACTCGCGCGATACCCCTTCATCCCTTTCCAGTTTGACCATCGGTCGGCCAAGATTGCGGTCAATCCGCGCGCTATTCGTGCATCAAATTAATCCGGAGAACGCCCTTAAACCGTTCCCGCAAACGCTAAGCTCGCGCTCTGGTAATTTTATCGTCCGCCAGCCAGCCGGCCGGCTTCTGCTTCCTTCGGTGACAACTAATTTATTTGGCCGCGGGAGAGAGGAGCGCGGCAACAGCGTGGGAACAGGGAACGGAGAAGGAAAACATCGAAAGATGGTGGTGGTGGTGGTGGTGGTGATGGTGGTGGTGGTGGTGGGCTATCGCGAGAGAAAAGGATTGCTCCTCCCTTTCGCCCAAGGAATCGATCGAGCACTCTTCCAGATTTCGTTCCATCCCCAGTCCTTTTTTCTCCCTCTCCCCTCGTCGTTTCGCGCGAGAAAACTTTCCCCGCCAATTGGTTTACTTACAACTCCCTCTTCTCGTAAACTCCCCCCCCCCCCTTTTTTCGGGGAGCAATTATTCGGTACGATTTAAATCGGGATTCTTCGCGCGCCGATTATCGCTTCGCCTTTCTTTCAAACGCAGCGCAACTAAGAACATCGTGAACGTATCTCACTGTTGGTAACCACGATCTTACATCTCGACGAGAATATGCGCGTCGTCAGAAATTTCATCGACGAATTTCATGAAGGACCAATTGGTCTATTTAATTAATAATTCGTGAAAAAAATATAAATTGAAAATGCCACGTTCTCGAGAACGTTCGAAATGGAAAGAACGTTTTGGAACGCAAAGGAGAGAAGAGAGGGGAGAAAAGGTAAACACGGTAAACACGGGCCCCCCTCTCCTACCCACGCGATCGCGTTTAATCCGAATAAAAATACTAGCGGCTGTAGTGTTGTCAAACACGGGGACAGTTTTTATTCGGATTAAGAGAGGAAGGAGTGTTCCGTTCGGGGGGAGTTTGCGGAGCGTCGTGTAATAACATCCCCAAATAACGGTGGTCGAAGTTTGCTCTCGAATCGGGCTGTGCAAGAGACAACTCACCTTGAATTATTGTTTCGGTTTCGCGGGATAAGCCTTTTGATAAACCTCTCCCCTCCAATCTTTGCCGCGTCGTCATCGTCATCCGGCGAAATGGTCGATCGGTAATGCGGTTTTTCCCGCGGAAATTGAAAAGTTTTCTTCGTGCCCCTCGGGGGAATGGGCGCGAATCCGACGGAGGATTTCTGTTGGTGGAGGAGGAGGATGGTTCGCGGGAGATGAGATATCAAAATTGTTTTAAAATTGTCTCCCCCTCGGGATCGAATTGACGAGCGTCGAGAGGAGGAGGAGAGATAGGATGGACGGGGGGCGAGGCGCAACGACCCCCTCCCTCGATCGGTTGCGAACGGATCTCCACCCCTTTTTCGAAAAACGAGCGGCGCTTTCGAAAAACCTCGGCAGTTGCCTCGGTTCAATATTTATGAAATCAATATTTTACTTGGCCGGCGCGTGTTTGTTCTAACTATCGATGGCCATAGTGCGCTAAAAATTGTACGTCTATGCATCACGGATTACGCGTATTAGCCGGACCACGCTTCGCTACTTCCCTACTACCACCAATCTTTTCCGTGCTTAATTCCATTAATCCGATACGATGTATAGTACACGTATGTATAGCATACATTCAATTCGTACATTTTCATCTTACATACGAATCTCGAATCGAGTGGAGAGGGTCGTAAAAAAGAGGATCCAGCTACTTTCTTTCGTCGACTCGACGGAACAAGTTTTCTTCCCCTCGTAAAAATTCCACGCGGAAAAATCGTTAAGATCTCATTCCAGATGAGAGAGAGATCGAGATCCTCGTCAAGCGTGAGCATTTTTAAATCACGCGCTTCCGATCGATCGAGAAACGTTTCTCAATCGACGATCCTTCGTTGCCATCTCCTCGTGCGAATGCGATACGAACGGACGCGAAAATTCGGCGAAAACATTCCGATCGATTCGAGGGGGAGAGGAGGGGGTACACGTGTCCCTTGAGAGATCTCGAAGGGAGGAGGGAAACAAAACAGCGGAGGGTCGGGATGGACGAAATCGTAGGAACCTTTTAGTCCCGGAGGGACCGCGCCGCGCCAGAACAGATTATCCATCCATTATTTCGGGTTGGGGGTGGATGGAGGGGAGAGGAGAGAAGAGGGCAAAAAAGTGGCGCGCGCGCGAAAATCGGGGAGCGGCGCGAGATGACCAGAGAGGAGGCTTCGGCGGACAAGTCTTCCGGCGGAACTCGGGTCTCGATTCCCTTTAAACGCCGCAGAAGCCTCGTTATATCCCGGCGTGCCGCGCTCCATTCGTTTCCGCCGCTCGAAACGATGTAATTAATATCGTTGCTCGGCTTTCGAATTTGCGACTGCGCGCGACTCGGTCTCGCTCTGGGCCGCTCAGCCCTCTCGTTCCAACCCGGCCGCTTGCCTCCCTCTCGCTCTCCGTATCTCGCTCTGCCACCCCCCTCNTCTCCCCCTTTTGGCGCGAGGGGGAAAGGGGCGACTTGGAAAGAGGAAGAGTGACCGATCGATCCTGGTAATAAGGGAACTTTTGCGTTGTCGGGGGTAGGGAAAGATCCGTGGAAGAAGAAGAAGAAGAAGAAGAAGAGGAGGAGGAGGAAGAAGAGGAAGAAGGGTGTCTCGCCGCCACCCTGGAGAAGAAGAAAGTGNACGGACCCTTGTCGAAGCTCCATCATCCCCCGGCTGCGAAACTCTTTTGAGGAAACGATCCTCTCGGGAAACCGCTGAAGCGCATCGGAGAACCGTAAGAGACCGTTGTCGAACAGCGAACGAGTAGCTTCGCCTTTCTCCTTTCTCCCTTTAAGGGGGATCGAATCGCCTCGCCTCGCCTCGTCCCCTCGCCTCGTCGTTTCTCGCCACTTTTCTCTTTTTCTTTTTCTTTTCTTTTTTTTTCTTTTTTCCTTTTTTCCTTCCATTCACTCGAGAAGAACACGAGCCAAGACTCGCGCCCAAACGATCCAATTTGGAAATCGTTAACGTTATATCCGGGAACGGGTGATCGATACGATACGTTTAATGGCCCGACAATTAAATATAATTAACACGGGGGATAGCGGGATACGTGGCGTTCGGCTGCCAATTAGCGCGTTAGCGCCTTATCGAGCATCGACCGATCGTCCGGCCGCGTCGCTTCCATCGTTCCATCTTCTCGAGCCGATAAAATCGCCGTAGTCGAGGGACGATTTCAGTCGTCCTCGACGAGGAGAAAGAAAGAAAGAGAGAAGCGACCAATGGATCAAACGAGAAAGGGCAAAACGAAGAATCGAGAACGAGGATCTAACCGATTCAAGCGATCGTGAACGAAGTGAACTGAAGGAAACTGCTGCGTCTCGCGAAAAGCAGAGAACGAAGGATGAAAGAAGGATGAACTCGACGACTCGAGAATGATAACGGAGCGAGCCAAGGCGAGTCTTTGACTCCGGTGGAAGTTTTGGGAAAAGTGTTTTCGGTGAGAGTAGAAGAAACGAAGAGGCGCGTTTGGCGAAACGAGCCGGATTACATGGTCGGGGGGAAGGGGGGGAAGAGGGAACGCGGTGCTCGTTCCGTCGCTCGTCGCCCGTTTCCCTTCGCGAGGGCAACCCTCGACCCGAGCGAGCTCGCACCCGGCGCGCCTCTGCCGTGCGTCGCGCGCGAGGAGGATTCCTCCCCGTAGGAGGACTCGAGGAGGATCGAGAACGAGGAGGATAGAGAAGTGGACGCGCGAGAAAGGACGCCCGGAAGGAGAATGCAATCGTGACGAACGGAGGTTCCGATCAGGATCGTGAGGTGAGTGTTATCGGATGACTGTTATCTTTTTTCTTCGACGTTTCTTTTCGACGACACGCGCGCTCGTATTCCTCCGCTCGAGAGTGGGAAAAAGGTAAAGGAAAGTGGGGGAATGGAGGGGAGAGTACTCCCACGGGAAATGCCGGGGGCAGAAATTTCTTCTTTATGCGGTGGCTGGGCCGACTTCGCGACCTTTCACTCGTCTCCGAGGAATTTCTCGGTCTATTACTTCCTAACCCGGGCGACGAGCAGCCGCTACTCTCTGCCGAGTATCGCGCCCCCGCGTAATAGCCCCGCGTTTATTCTTTCCTT